TGGGAGGAGGGTAGAGAGAATAGTGCAACAATGAATGAATGGAAACCCAAAATCTCTGTAAATGTTTATGAAAATTAATAAAATATAGAAAATAATAGCATTGGGGTAGAACATATAGCTTTGTGTTTTAGTTTTATCTTTAAGGATGTGATAGATTCCAAATTAACTTTTGTTATTTCATCTTTGATATAAGAAGAGTGTTAATGAATGCCTGTTATTTACAAAGGATTTTTTTTTTCTGGAACTATTCAAATGCTTTGATATGAATTCTCTCTTCTAATTACTAATATATCTACATTATAGTATAATCAAAAAGTAGAATAGCAACAGTGTATTTTAGTAATCTCAGCAAAGAGTTTATAAATTTCTGTGGCGTTCACCATCCAAGGCTGCCTTTGCTTATGTAACTGTGGTTGCTTTTGTTCATGTTGTGTTTTGTCAAGTTGGAACTGACTCAGAGCTGATCCTTCATCAGACTTAGAGAGGCAGTAAATCACGCAGGAGGAGAGTTTCCATCCTTCTCTTGGGGAACAGCTGGTGGATGAGAACAGCGTGCCTTTGGAATTACAGCACAGCTTCCTACCTCTATGCCACTAGAACAATTGCTTTTAGGCAATCGAAATGTCATTGAACATTTACTGGAATGGGAAATAGTCTCTTGCAGTTTACTATGAAGGCATCTTAGAGGATTAGTAGAAATGCACATTTTGTTAATTACTAATTTTGTCAGTACTTTGTTATGTCTCATTTTAAAACCATGCAGTTTACTTACAAGAAACATAAACTTTTGGTTTCTTAACATAGTAAGTAAAAAAAAAACACATTTTTGATAAGGGGAGAGGCAAGCATAAAAAAAAAAAAAAAAAACACATTTTTGATAAGGGGAGAGGCAAGCATATAATTGTTATAGAAAATGCATTCAATTATTCTTGAAAGAATATTGTATTGACTTTATCTTGGGTTGTAACCAATTAATTTACTGATATTTTAGGATTATAATTGAATTTTTTTAAGTAAAATGTTTATTTTATATTGGTTTAATGACAAAATTAGTGTACATTGTTTTTCATACTCTATCTTTCCCATTTTCTTCACCCATCCCTCGTTCCACCCATCATATTGTGTGACCCAATGATTAAACCCTCCTGCTTGCCCATCATCACCCCTCTGCTCCCACCCTCCCCCACCATGAATCCTTATACACATTCTACAATGGTGGTCTTATACAGTATTTGTCCTTACGGGACTGAGTTAGTTCACTTAGCATAATGTTTTCCCATCCCTCCCAAGTTATGTAATGCTTACAAAATCATTGCTCCTGCATACTGTGTAGTATTTCATAGTGTGACTGTATCATAATTTCTCAGTCCATTCAATTGTGGTTGGAAATTTGGGTTGTTTCCATATTCTAGTGATGGTGAATAACACTGCTGTGAATATCGGTGTACAAATTTCCATTTGTGCCTCAGTTCTTATTTTCTCAGAGTATATTCCAAGCAGTGGAATAGCTGGGTCCTATTTATGAAAAGGAATATGGCATCACGACTCATCAACAACATACATTATGCATATGACACAACCTTGCTTTCTGAAGCTGAAGGCTACCTGAAGTGCTTGCTACAGAAGTTGAAGGACTGTAGTCTTCAATATGAATTGAAGCTTAACATCCAGAAGACAAAAATTATCACCATTGGGCCAATTAGCAACATCATGTTGGATGCAGAAGAGATTGAGATTATTATCAATTACAGTTTACTCAGCTCTACAATCACCACTCCTAACACCAGCAGACAGGAAATCAAAAGACAAATTGAATTGGGAATATCTACTGTTAGGAAACTCTCCAGAGTGCTGAAAAGCAATGATGTCAATCTACAGACTAAAACACATCTAATCCAGGCCATGGTCTGCGTGATTACATGGTATGCATCGGAGAATTGAACAGTGACTAAGGATGATAGAAGAAGAATTGATGCATGATACATTCAAGTTGTGGTGCTGGAGAAGAGTCTTGAACATACCATGGACCACCAAGAAAACAAATAAGTATGTCTTAGAAAGGGTGAAACCAAGTCTCTCCTTTGAGGCTATGATTTTGAAGCTACGTGTCACATACTGTGGGCAGGTGGTCAGGAGAGACGTGTCATTGGAGAAGACCATCATGCTTGGAAAGGTGGATGGACATTGCATGAAAGGAAGACCCTGGATAAGATGGATTGATACAGTGACTGGGACAATGGGGGTTGGTGTATCAGAATTAGTGAGATTGGCTCAGGACATGTCAAAGTTCAGAGCTGCTGTACATAGGGTTACAATGCGTCACAGGCGACTTGATGGCACGTAACACCAGTAATGGAATTTCTATGTTCAGCTTTTTTTTTTCTTTTCTTTTTTTCTTGTTGTGTACCGTTACATTGACTCCAACTGGCACAGGAGGAGATTGCCCCTCCTTTTCATGTAGAGCATCTGTTGGATTCAAACTGCATACCTTTGGGACTGAACCACAACTTCTTACTACCAGCCCACCAAAGCTTCCCTATGTTCAGCTCAATCCCACCAATAGTGTATAAGAGTTCCTATCTTACCACATCCTCTCCAACATTTATTACTTACTGTCCTGTTAAACTTTGCCACTGCCACAGGGGTGAGATGGTGTCTTATTGTGGTTTTGATTTGCATCTCTTTTATTGTCAGTGATTTTGAGTTTTTCTTTGTGTGTCTGTTGGCCATCTGAATAACTTCCTCCATGAAAATTCTTTCCATGTCTTTCCCTCATTTTCTTATTGTGTTCCTAGTCTTTTTTCTTGTGGAAGCCCTGTAGGATCCTATAAACTTTTGATATGAAACCCTTTTCTGTAATGATATTGCCAAATGTTTTTGGGTTGTTCCCCCTCTCCCCCCAGTCAATAGGTTTTCTTTTCACTCTGTTGGGAAATGTTTATGATGAGCATAAAAATCCCTGTAATTTTCTACTGTGCTAGCCCTAGCCCACACCCATCCAATAAGCACATTCCTTTATTTTTTTTTCTCTTGATATAACTGAATTATTTTTCTACAATTTTGAACACACCGCAGCACTTTACCTATATTTTTGTGTGTTTCCTGTTTCAAGAAGCATTTTTCATCCTTCAATAAATCTTTATTTTTTTAATTTAAAAAAATGCACACTCCACGATTCAAGATGCAGTTATAAATCTATTTTGGCAGCAGATAGCCTCTCCTATGCATTGACTCGTGCATTTTTTTGCAACATCTTGCATATTAAAAAAATAAACATTAAATAAACTGGATTCTGGTAATATGCAGCGCAGAAGGTAGAACAAACCAATATCAATGTGTGTGTCCCAACACCTACTATTCCCTTAGACCACTAGAAATATAAACATGAAAAATGAAAGTTTAAAGTAATCCCTCTCCTCTCCACCTTCTTCTTTCTCTACTCCATCTGCCTTATAAGAGAAGGAAAATAACTTACAGTGGAAAACGTTTCCCTCTAACAATTAATGTTTTTTAAAGCATGAGTGAGTGTAGTTTTGCTACAATTTCTTGATGAGCTCTCTAACTATTGTGGTTTAACCCTTTAATCAAGCTAGACTCCAAGTGAGAAGAGTCTGAGTGCACAGATAAAAGGTGAAAATGAGATTTATTTCCGCATCTGATTCATGTTAGCTTTGCAAACACAGTTTGTGAAAGCTCATAAAGTACAGTCAATGCAAATAGAATACTATACCAATTATTCCAGATACGAGAGACTTTTTCATTACAAGTTAAAAATAGATATCTTTATCTTTGAAAATACTGGATTTTTTTTTCCCAGAGAGGTGTTTGTGTGTGTGTGTGGGGGGGGGGTGTTATCTCTCTGAACCACATGTGGGGGGAAAATTGTTAAAATTTTGTTCTTTCTAATCCTATTTTATGACCTCAGATTGGTCTTCATAATAGCTGTAGTTCGTTTAATAGGGCATATTATCTGTGCACTGACTATTTTCTTTCCTTTTTACTCCAACAGGAAACCAAAACTCAGTGTGTACGAATTGCTACAAAAGGTAAGATGTTTCCTTCTTTCTTTTGTAAACTCCATTTTCCTCCCTCTAAAATGAAAGAGCTTTGTCCTCTGCTTCAGGGCTAATTAAATGTGGCATTTCGATTACAGAGCATTTGTAGTAGGACCCAGTTAACAGCCAGCCAACTCCTGGGCGTCACTTGAGTGTCTTTTGCATGTAATGGGCTGCTCTTTCCCCTGCTTCAGTACTTGACTGGAAGAATCTTGTTATGAGCCTAGGAAGGATTTAGGAAACTTTAGCAGGGCTTTACTTCTTGCCATTCAGAATCTGAAAGGCCTAATACTGCTGATCAGCCAATGTACTAGGAAAAGCTCAGTAATATCAGCTCAAAATAGAAAGTTGCTTATTTAAAAGCCTTGATTGTTCTCCGTGGTATAAAACAAAGAATCAAACTAGCTTGATCTCACATAATAGTGTAGGTGTGGAGACTGGTCTATATTTGCAACAATAAGGCAGTCTGATTAAAAATTATGTCATTTCTTTTTCACATTAACATAATTTATACCAGGAAATTGGATATGTGATGGCTAAGGATCAAGGTATCTCTATTGCATCAGCATATTATGGTTTAGTCCTCTATTTTCTGAAAAGAGAAAATGTTTTCTTCTTTGAAAGAGTACAAGTGCTCAGAATGAAGGAGCAGTTTCCTGTATCTTCTTATATTCCTGCATTTAAGAGTTATTTCAGTGTGCTAATGAGAAAGAGAGAGAAAGAGACAGAAAGCTACTTGGTGTATTCTAGCAAGAGAAGCAAGAACAAGCTTCCTGCGTGCTGACTGGGCCCTCCTCAGAGGGTTGATTCTCTGTGATTTGCTGCTAGAATTAGCATTAGACCCACATTCATGAGCAATAGTCAATTTGTTTGGACTTAAAATGAATGGCCATATTCTGTTTGTGCTGGCATGTTTCCTTCCATCATTTTTCTCCATCTAATCATCAATCTGCTCAATTAAGCATTTGTGTTTAACTCTTGATTTGTAAAGGCAATAAAGAAAGACTGTTTTCCTCTGACTCATGAGAAGCAATAAAGAGGTTTCAGAGGGAAGGGAAAATACACTTATGTCAAGAATTAAGATATCTCAACATACTTTAAAAAGGAAAGCAAACTAAGGAAACAAAAGAGAAACCAAGGAAGTGCTTATTACTTATTTTAATGCATATTATGTCCAAGAAATTATTTATTTAAAAATATAAGTTAATAGTTATAGGTTAGATTATAACGGAAAAAAATCAATTCTGGTGTGTATTCATTTTGCTTTTCAGATTTAAGACAGTCCCAGAAATGTAAAAAAGTCTTCCATCAGCCTCCCAGACAATTCTTTAGGTAGTGTGCGGATGCACATCTGTGACTGACAAAAGATAGCTGCAGCTACTATTCTTATCCCGTTATCTACTTTACCATGAGTAATTTTAAGTGCTTTTTTTTTTATCCTCTCAAAACAAATAAATATAATAATAAATATAATATTTATGTAGGTGATAGGAAGATTGAGATCATACTAATAACTCTTATCATGTGACTGAGAATGTTTGCCTACTTGTCAGAGACAAGAAGAAAGAGTGGAATTTGTGATAGTTCTGTGTTGTTCAGTAATAACAACTTTGCTGTACTTCTGCCCATAAAGTTGGTAATGTGGTGTAGTAAGTAAAGGAAAAGACTCTGGCCCCAAACTATCTGGGCTCAAATCCTCACTCTATTTCTTACTGATTATTTGGCACTGTGAAAAAGTATTTAATCTAACATGATAAAAATAAGGGGGGAAACCTTTGCCTAAGCCTTTATTTTTGTGATAAATTTTTAAAACTTGAGTAAAGTGCTTGAACAGTGCCTGTCATTATACAAGTACTACATCAGAGTTAGGGAGCTTTGGTGGTTTATTAATAAGTCTGCTGCCAGCCCAAAAGCACGTGGTTTAAATCCACCAGCGGCTCAGTGGAGAATTTTCCTCCCATGCAATTTACTGTCTCTGAAAATCCTCTGAAGGGTCAACTATGAATCGGTTCTGAATCAACAGTACATAACAACAAAATAAAGGTTAACTGATACTGTTTTTGCATCACTGCTTTTCTTATTATTTGTTATTTCAGAAGAACATAATTTCTGTTATGCCGTTTTGAAAGAAATAGATACACACAAACAAACGTTTATTATGTGCATGATTTGGCAACAATTTGCATTTTTCATATAGGCAAATCACACTTATTAAGGGAATATCAACTTATTGCCTGACATCATTTTAAACTAGCACCATGTAAATTAGTCAGCCTTGGTATGAATTTTTTCCAGATAAAATTAAAATGTTTTCTGTTAGAGTGTTTTCAAACAAAATAGATATATCTTCAGAAATTTTCTCTTTTAAGGTAGTTGTGTTTTGAAGACATACTTCATAATGAAGATGACCTAGACTTAATAACTTAGTTAGGACATGAGGGCACCTTCTGGGGAAGAATAAGATTGACATTTCATAGTTATAAAATTAGATTAAAATTCTCTTAAGCCATAATGATTAAACTTTTTGTATTTTATTATTAGATTTGAATGGATTTATGTAGGTGGGTTGGTTTTAATTTAAAAAAAAAAGATTAAGGCATTTAAAAAGTAAACGCCTATAGGTAGAATAATGTTGAATGTGTTGGAGATCCTTGAGAATTTGCAAGATTGAGCTCACTGGCCTCATTGAAATTTCCCTGCACTGGATAAGGTGAGCTCTCCCTCCCCAGGCCAATTTGTATCAGCAGACTAGCCCTGCCTGACTCTGGAGGCTGAATAAAGATGATCTTGAAAGTGCCTGGCTTCATCTTGGGGTGGTTCACCTGAGAGAATCTTGTCTTTCTTATGTCTTTCAGTCAGAACCTTCCCAGATCTCCATCCCCACAATCGTAGCTATAGTTACTGAAGAGTTGAGGGCTTCCTTTCATAAGCTTTATGTCAATATCTATACCAGTTTTATTGGCAAACTTGATTCTCTTGAAATTCAGTATGTTTCTATAAAACTTTTGATTCTCTGGTTATTTTTGTGATCAGCTCCTATTTTATAATATTTTCCCTTTAATTGTGTAAAGCTTAAAAAATGCTTACCTAAGTTTGTGACTTAATAATTGTCTTATACATAAGTATATACTGCGGACAAGTACATGGTCCAGACTCATAATAGGTTCAATAAATATTTGCCGAGTTGCCCATTCAGTATAAACAGAGTTAAAGGTATATGTTTTGGCATTAAATTTAGTCAACTAGTTACAGTAGTGCCAACAGTTTTGAAACTTATCGGTGTATATACTTGAATTTGAGGTATACCAGAAAGATGTTTATCTCTGCTTTATTGCCAATGCAAAGGGATTTGACTGTGTGACTCATAACAAATTTTAGATTAGAATGGGAAGCCCAGAGAATTGAATTTTGCTCATGCAGAGCCTTCACATAGAATAAGAAGCAGTCATTCAAACAAAATAAGAGCTTGAAATTAGAAAGGGAATGAGTCAGAGTCATATCTTTCCATTAATTCAATACGTATTCAGAAGAAATAATCCAAAAATCTGAGCTACATAAAGTAGAATGAAACATCAGGACTGGAGGAAGGAAGACTCATTAACAATCTAAAATATGCAAGTGACACAACCTTGCTTGATAAAAACGAAGAAGACTTGAAGTGCTTACTACTTTTGATCAAAGATTGCAGTCTTCAATGTGGATTATATTTTAAAACAAAGAAAACCTAAATCTTCACAACTGGACCAATAAAGAAACATCATGGAAAAAACATTTAAGTTGTTTACAATTTCATTTTACTTGTATCCACTATCAGGTCCCACAGAAGAAAGTTAACCCCACCTTTTTGCTGAAAGGACCTCTGTCAAGTGCTAAGGAACAGGATATCACTTTGAGGACTAAGGTGTACCTTCCACAAGCCATAAAATTTTCTGTCACCTTATACACCCGTAAGAGTTGAAGAGTAAACAAAGGAAACCAAAGAACTAAGCCATTTGAATTGTAGTATTGGTGAACACTGTTGAATACACCAAGAACACCCAGAAGAAGAACAAAAGATGTTTTGGAAGTAGTATGCTTAGAATGCCCTTTAGACATGGGGATGGTGAGACTTCATCTCCCTTCTTTATCATGTTATGAGGAGAGGAAAAGCCCTGGGGAAAACATACTTGTAAAAGTGGTAGGTCAATGAAAAAGAGGAAGACTGTCATTGAGATGGGTCGACAGAATGGCTGCAACAATAGGCTGAAAAATGTCAATGATTGTGAGGATAACACAGGACCAGGGAGTATTTCCTTCTATTGTACATACAGTCACTGATTTGGAACCAAGTTGATAACACCTAGCAATTTGAATTGAGTTTAATTCTCATCTGTCTAAATATTTGCTCTATTTTCTTCTGCTGATTATGATATTCCCTCTTATGCTCAAAATAATGGCAAATAGAAAATGTAGCTAAATTTATGTCTTTAGCTTAATCACTGCCATTCTTTTGACTGTATTCTATGTTTCATTTGCTATTGAAACTCACATTTCAGTATCAAGAGCATGTTCTAAGGATTTAATTGAAATTAAGAGTACAGTGTGTTTTAGGAGAGACACCAAAGGAAATTACTTTTTATTGTTTGTATCCTGAATAGAGAACATGATGGATAAATGATTAAAATTCTGTTAAATATTCCAAGAAAGAAAATAACTCAAAGACAAAATACTTGCCAAAATTTACTAACAAAAACTTCTCTGACATCATTAGTCAATGTGTTTTAATTTTGTCGTTTTCATGTAGAACCTTTTAATTGGATTACCATTACCATTATCACCATTATCATCACCATCATCCTATGGAGTGTGCGTGATTGTGTGTTAGGTGCCCTTAATTCACTATGTCTTATATTAATAATAGATCAAAATCTTGCCCTATTCTGCACCAACCTCCCAGTCTTCATCATATACAAGCCCATAACTGCAATTACTGCGGCCACCTTTCTCATTAA